TTATTGGAAAATTTTAAAAAATGTTGCGGAATTTCATGAAAACAAGTAAATATTTCGAGAAAAATAACCTCACGGAGTCGATGACTTGACCGTCAAAGGAAATCTCTCTCTCTCTCTCTCTCTCTCTCTCTCTCTCTCTCACACACACAATCTGATGTTTCTTTCACTCCTCCACTTTATCCTGTCGACTACGGCACAATACAGTAATCCAGGTATCCCTAAATCCCATGGGAGATAATTTAGCCCTGATTAGGCACCCCTGAACTCAGGTATAAAGTATTAGCCCTGAACTAGTGCATAACTAACCTTGTTGCGCGCTTAAAGACCTTCGTTGCTAAAGCGCAGTCATAACATTATAACAACAACAATAGTTATACCCAACAAAAGCTTTAACAAAATTGTCAATCTATCACTTAGTTTATTTAGACATGACTTACCACAGCACTGACGGCCACCCCTTCTCCCTGCCACCCTTCCCCCTTGTCCCTGGCACCCCCCTGGCACCCCCCTGGCACCCCCCTGGCACCATCTTCTCTCGCCATCATCTCAAGGTCTCCCACCCCTCCACTTCCGCTGCCGTGTTGACGTACATGTTTGAATTTTATCACTCTGTTCCCCGTTGCCTTATGTTGTGTAATAAACGTCACCAGTTTATGAAAATGTTTAAAGGAAATTGTAACCTTCAGGGCACTAGTAGTAAGGGTGAAGGCTTTGTTACAGACACACACACATACACATACAGTATACAGTATAACTCTTCCATACTGTGTTGAAACTGTTAAGTATCACCATTTCTCTCTCCTTCTCTCCACTTTTCCTCACCAATATCGCAAACCTTTCTTGAGTCAATCGAGCCATACGGTTGCCTCAGCCCAAGGTAACCAGACACATAACATCCACAACACCAAAAAAGGTTCAATAATTTAATATCCTTGTTCTGTAAATTATAATATCCGCTTCCTGTAATGGTGGACCAAGAGTACAGTGTAAAAAATGTTAATACTTCTTCTATTGGTCTTAGTAAATCTTGTACGACTACTAGTACTGTTGCTATTAACAACAACAACAACAACAACAGAAATAATAATAATAATAATAATAATAATAATAATAATAATAATAATAATAATAATAATAATAATATAATAATAATAATAATAATAATAATAATAATAATAATAATAATAATAATAATGGCCCAGGTAATGACCAAGAGACAGTAATGACCAGGGCAATATAGACAGGAGGAGTGGTTAATGTCCAATCGTGCGTCACTCTTCACCACCGTCTTCGCTGGCGATTCTGTCAACCTTGATCAGGACGTCGAAGGTAAATTGATGCCTTATTACCGTTCCTTCCCTCACCTGTCTTACCTGCTAACTTGAGGTCATCACGTGTCTCTTTCACCACCAGGTCACCCCGTGTTTCCTCTCCTCCTTCACCCCGCCAGCCATCCTTCCACTAACCAACCACCTAACTTAACTCCCAATCACCTCCACCATCTGACCATCTCCTCCACTTTCTTCTCCACCATCTTCATCATCTTCTCCACCATCTTCATCATCTTCTCCACCATCTCCTATCCTCCGATCTCCCATGCTCTAGTCATCATCCCCCAGTTTAGAGTCAAATACCTCCCCTCCCTCCAAAACACCTTCCCTCCCTCCAAAATACCTTCTCTCCCTCCAAAACACCTTTCCTCCCTCCAAAGCACCTTCCCTCCCTCCAAAATACCTCCCCTCCCTCCAAAACACCTTCCCTCCCTCCAAAACACTTTCCCTCCCTCCAAAACAACTATCCTCCCTCCAAAACACCTTCCCTCCCTCCAAAACACTTTCCCTCCCTCCAAAACAACTCCCCTCCCTCCAAAACACCTTCCCTCCCTCCCTCCCTCCAAGACACTTCCCTTCCCGGCTCACGTAACTCTGCCAAGGTGGTTCCAGGGAGCGAGGGACGAAGGGAAGGCACCGCGATACGTGAGAGGAATAAAATGAAAGTCACAGCCCACATTTTGAGATTTCGATTTACTCCAAACATCAAGACAATTATTTTCCACAACATTCATCTTGTCATTTTCCTCAACGCCAGAATATTTTGTTTTCCTCGGCGTTCATGTCATAATTTTCCTCAGTAGTTAGTTAATGTGGTTAGGACCAAGGCTGACAGTGTGATGATAATGACCTCTTCAGTGGACGGGATTTTGGTCTTCGCTTAACTGTTTATTAATAAGAGATACTGAATTATTATTATTAATGTGGAGTCGACGAAGGAGTACAAGAAATCCACCAAATTACTACTAAAAATAACAACAACAACAATATTACTACTGCTAATAATAATAATAAAAACAACAATAATAATAATAATAATAAAAACTTACATTAACTAATATTGAGTGAGATAGTGTGTAAAAATCATCTCACACTAAATGTAAACAGATCATCTTTTAACATAATAGAGAAAACGTATCAACAAACACAACATTAACTAGACGATCTCATCAATGTTGAACAAGAGGAACAGGCGTCAGTTACCTCACATCTTTTTTGGAATCAATTTCTGTTCGTGTTCAGCAGGATGACAAATTATAAACAGCCTCAAGGACTTCTTATGAGCAAACTTTTCTCGACTATTCCAGAGGGAGGAAGCGAACAGGACCTTGATGTCATGTTATTCTATAAGGGGTCTAGAAGATTACTCCTTCATCAGAGTTTTATGTACAAGTCCTAGCGCTGTTCTGAAGGGCAATATGTGAGAAGTATTGATGACTTAGAATTATAGTTTATTTTTTTATTATTATTATTGTAGGTATTATCGATATTATTATTATTATTATTATTATTATTATTATTATTATTATTATTATTATTATTATTATTATTATTATTATTTTTATTATTACACCCAATTCAAGTTTAAATCTAAGACGGGAACCAAAATTGTGATCGCCAGACGCAAAAAAAAAAAAATCACTTACGTAACTAAAAAAAAAAAACACCAAAAAATCATTAGTGTTTCATCAGTAACTTTATCGTGGGTTAAAACTTTATGGGTAAAATGTAACTGACGTCAAAGCAGTTCTAGAGGGATCACTGACCTACATTGACCGGATATGACCTGATGTTTGGTATTTTTGGTTTGGTTTTGTTGGTGACCTGTAGTGCTAGTGACCTGTGTTGGTGACGTGTGTTGGTGACCTGTAGTGTTGGTGACCTGTGTTAGTGACCTGTATTGTGACCTGTAGTGTTGGTGACCTGTGTTGGTGACCTGTGTTGGTGACGTGTGTTGGTGACCTGTAGTGCTAGTGACCTGTTTTGGTGACGTGTGTTGGTGACCTGTGTTGGTGACCTGTAGTGTTGGTGACCTGTGTTAGTGACCTGTGTTGGTGACCTGTATTGGTGACCTGTAGTGCTAGTGACCTGTGTTGGTGACGTGTTGGTGACGTGTGTTGGTGACCTGTGTTGTTGGTGACCTGTGTGGTGACCTGTGTTGTTGGTGACCCTGTGTTAGTGACCTGTTTGGTGACGTGTGTGGTGACCTGTAGTGCTAGTGACCTGTTTTGGTGACGTGTGTTGGACAGCAGGACCTGTGTGTTGGTGACCTGTGTTGTGACCTGAGACCTGTGTTGGTGATCTGTATGGTTGGTGACCTGTAGTGCTAGTGACCTGTGTTGGTGACGTGTGTTGGTGACCTGTAGTGTTGGTGACCTGTGTTAGTGACCTGTATTGTGACCTGTAGTGTTGGTGACCTGTAGTGTTGGTGACCTGTGTTAGTGACCTGTATTGTGACCTGTAGTGTTGGTGACCTGTGTTGGTGACCTTGATGGCGTCGCCGATATTGGTAGCAGGTACAACAAGATACAGGAGTCAATTAGCACCAGGTAGGTCAGTAATCACCAGGTAGGTCAGTAATCACCAGGTAGGACAGTAAATCACCAGGGAGAAAAAACTACATCCATAGGCCCGAGGCATTACGGTGGTGTTCCTTCTCTGAACACACACACACACACACACACACACACACACACACACACACACACACACACACACACACACCGTTTTCCAAGAAGTTTGACCCATCCTGGTCGGTTCTCGGTCGTAAATCTGAATTACGTGTTTTATGGGTGGTGGGATGTGTTGTGGGCGGTGGGCGGTGGGTTGTGGGTGGAGTGTTGTGGGTGGAGTGTTGTGGGTGGTGGGCGGTGGGTTGTCGGCAGTGGGTTGTCGGTGGTGAGTTGGGTTGTGGGCGGTGGGTTGTGGGCGGTGGGTTGTGGGCGGTGGGTTGTGAGTGGTGGGTTGTGTTGTGGGTGGTGTGTTGTGGGCGATGAGTTGTGGGTGGTGGGTGGGAAACCCTAGTAGTTGATGGATGGCACTTATGAGTAGCTGTAGGAGGTGGGCGGCGCTGTACGTGGCGTGGTGGGTGGCGGTGTGGGCGGTGGATGGCTCTCTGGGAAACACTGCAGACGGGTCCTGTTGTGTTTACCAGTGTTGTTGTCTTTGTTTTTTAATGATGGGATGACACACACACACACACACACACACACACACACACACACACACACACACACACACACACACACGTTATTATACAATACATCCTAATATGTCTGTTGTAAGTTTAACATGGTGATACATGTTACAGATCTGTCGAGGTGGTAACTACAGTAGGATTAAAATACTCAGTCGGAAGAAAGATATACAGTACTTGTTGGGTCCTGTGAGCAGTGTTTTGGGGAGAGGTCCTCAAGTTGGCCGGTGTTTTGGTGTGTGGATGTGTGTGTTTGTGTGAATGGAGAGTTCGGGAGAGAGTAGGAGGGTCAGCAGACATCAATACAGCAGCAGGAGCAGAAGCAGCATCACCCCCCCACCCCCAACAGGACTGGCGCGGCGCGGATAGGAACAGAAAACACACTCACAGCTTCAGGCGACATGCGTAGTGGCACCCACCCGAGAGGAGAGGAGGGACCGCGGGTATAAATAAGACCCACGGTCGTCGCTCAAGCCAGTTCAGGCCCTTCCCTCGTTGCCTTCACTTGTCTCAGCAACGCTAGCGGTAATCTCCCCGCTCAGCGACAGCCCTCCCCCCCCCCTTCTGTAATACGTGGATACTGTACCTTCGCTGGCAGTCTTAACAAGCTGCCGCGAGACTCATCTTGTGGAGTGGTTGGTGAAAGTCATCCAAGATTGCTCCTAACGGAAATCAAACGTTCGCCTGCATTCCTCTCTGGATATTAGAGGACATAAAGAGCTACATCAAGAGATCGGCGAACAGAAAGGCCGCAGTGAACAAGAACAGTGTTGTGTGTAGAGGACAGAGCTGCAAGTTAATCATGAAAGACGACAGAAACTCTAGTCAAAGTGGCCCCCTGAGAGTGGCGGTGATAGGGGCGAGTGAG